GAAGAAGTGAAAAGCTTAACGGAGTTTACTAGTGTGCACAAAAAGTGCAAAGAGTAAAAATAAAACAGCACGCAGCAAAGTGAAGTAAAGTGAAGTGCTGCCAGTGACCATCACTGACCACTACAGTTATAGCTCGTGGCCTCTAACCACTGCCAGGTGCTATTCATTCATTTGGCTGCAGTGGTGCATTGCAATGGCCGCACTAATCAATTACCGATTAGGCTGTGATCCGAAAACCGCTCAGCGCCCAACGGCGCCAAGGCGGCGGCTCCTGAGATGCACCGCTGCTTCTCATTCTTTGCCGTCGGTTCTGATTGTTTTTGAGAATCTGTAGACTTTTTTGAGTCGAGGAATGGCACTGGTAGCCAGCAAAAAGAAGACAGTATGTTTTATTGAGATGCACATGAGGTGGTTCTGTCTGATTGAACTTTCTACTGAGACTGAGAATCACTACCGAGTTGATCCTCTCTTCTGTATAGGTGCATATTAGCATTTCGCCCACCTCCACCTTCACCACTACCACCTCTATAGCTGCCATTATCGTGGTAATTATCGATGCCTCCACCACCGCCGCCATTACCAGCGCCACCGTTATGCTTGGCAACAACCGTTTTTACGACTTCACGGGTGGCCGCTATTTGACGAATGATTTCCCTCCTCGGACTTATGATCTGGTGGTCATGGGTACACAATAAAACTGATCATAAGACACCGTTTCAGAACTTTAATGCAGTACAATCACACTTGCCTCATTTATTGTTTGAATGACCGGTTTTTCGACTTTTAAGTAGAGCACATTGGGCTCCTCCACTACCCTTGACTCTTGAACTTTTTCTGGGCGAACTTTAATGTGATTTTGCACCATGTTGAGCAATGAAGTTTTGGTGTTGAAACGTATCGTTATGGGCATGGTCTCTCCGTTTATATCAATCACTGGATTTTTTGTTTCTTGTGATGCAACAGCTGGATACAACGGTTGTGAATGCCTTGTAGAAACTGGAGATTCATATTGTTCATTTCCACCATCGTAGTGGTCAGTGTCAACTGACATTTGTCGATTGTGATTTTCATTTTGGTATTGATCAGCATTGATCATACCAGTAGAAGCGACTAGAAAAACTGCTGTTGTCTAGAACAAATGAAAGTATGTTTAAAAGTACAAGTCTCACAAGTCACTTACTAGGTACTGCATTTATGCTTTTCCGAATGGGACGAAAGCGATCTGATCCACAAGCTTTCCCGTGAGCGTTCTTTTATATGAGCAGAGAAAATCCTATCTTAATCAGTGCGAACCACTTTACCGTCAAAAAGTCTGAAGTTTTACTTTTAAATCAACCACAACAAAGCGTAATGGAGGGTCATTAGCTGGCAAATGAGCAAAGCGATTTCAATCAGGACGCCTCTGATGGCACCAGGATTTGCCTGCTAGTGCTGCTGCTTCATCCATCACCAGTCGATTGTGCAACCCAATTAGCCTAATGAAGGTGCACTGTGCACTGGGCACGACGAAACAAAACAAAACAAAACAGCAACAGCAGCAGCAACAACAACAGCACCGGCTCCTTCTTACAGGTAAAGGAGTGAACCAATGGAAGTGAAGCTGATCGAAGAGTGACAGCTACCGTGAAAAAACAAAACACCAAAACTGCTGTTCACAAGACTGCCAGGACTGTGCCAATGATCGGCCAATTGGCGCCAGTAATGGCTCTGATCTTTCGGTTGTGTTTCGTTCGTTTGGTGTGTGAGTACAAGTGTGTGTGTGTGTGTGTGTGCTCGCTCTGCTGATCAATGGTGATCGGTACACATCCGTTCTTAATTACCGGACCAACCTCTAGGCGGCAACGACTGCACCAGTAGCAGCAACAGCAACAGAGCCCGAGAAGAGTGCAACGGTGGAACGGTTAGCACTGAGTGATTGTCATAATTAAGCATCGACACACAAATCTTCGACGTGACCCACAAATTGTGCTATTTTGTAGCTCATTACACGCATTTGTGCCATTGCTCGCAGGTACACACGCGTGCCATACTGGCTGGAAAAGAGACAAAGGTGAGATGCTCAGAAATACCAGTGTAGAGTGCTCATCTAATGTTTTAGTGTATTTCTGTTTGAATTCAGCCCCATTGAGCGACCACCGACGGTTGCAGGCAATTATTTGATGTCAAGTCAAGTGAAGTGTTTGAGTCGGCGACACTGAAAACAGCAGCCACTGAGTACGCCCACCTTGTTAGTCAGTGGCACTGACCACACCGGGAGAACAGGTGCCTGCAGGTGCTTACACGTTGACCAAGTTGGTTGCCCTTCAGCTGTCTCTTGGCCTCCCTCCCTCCCTCGCACTAGTGTACAGTAGTAGTGGAGGTGGTGATAGTGGTGATATACACTATTCAGTTGTATCAGATTTCAGTGAGCTTGTGCAGCCAGTCGTGTACAACTGGACAAATTAGCCCAGTCTCTCCGAAAGTGCCCTGTGAGTGCCCGTGTGTGCCTGTGAATACACATGTAAAATGCACTCGTGGAGTAGAGCAAGGCGAGTGTCACTTGGTCATAACCGATAATTGAGAAGATAATTAAAACAAGCGACAAGCGTTTGCTGCTACTGCTCTGCTTTGCTCTTTTGACAAGTCTCGACAAGTTGCAGTGCACCTAGCTGACAATTATTCGACCATTGGTTATGTCAGAGTCTGCAGCAGAGCTCTAGCGACTGTCGGCCGAGTATATAAGCTATCACCGGGCATCTAATCGATCACACAGTCAACCAGCAGCCTTCCCAGTGACAAGTCGTGTTCAGTTTAGTTAAGCAGCAGCAACAGCATTTCCCAGCACCACTTCTACACAACAACAATGTTCTCGGTAAGACCTCAAGACTAGACAAAAAGCACACCAAGTTTTCTCAAGTGACACTTTCATTGGGTTCACCCAATCCCAATCACACAGGCTTTCGTCTTTCTCTCTGCTCTTGCCTTGGCCTCGGCCAACTCCTATGGCGGCGGCGACTACGGTGGCCATTCAGTGGATGCGGCCGTCAAGTCATCGCACTCTGTGAGCACCTATCCTGTTGAGAGCCACCAGCAGACGGCACACCCTGTCGTAGACATCAACTCGGGACCACTTCCTCTCACCGTCCGCTTCAACTCTCACTCATCTCAGCTGAACCTGATCCAGAAGCACTTTGGAAGGTAACCAGAGTTTGGCACAGTATTTCGGACTGCAAAATTTTGACTCACAACTTCCCCATTTTTGCAGCCCTGGCCAAGTCCAGAAGCAGTCCTCTGTGGATGAGCCCGATGTTCTCATCCAGAACATTAAGAAGCCAGGCAAGTTTTAGATATTAGAAACTATTTAACCGATTCAAAACTAACAATTTTGTTTGTTGCACTTGCCTTGCAGTTCACCAAGAGGTATTTGATGCAATTGAGCTCAGGTAAAAGGATAAAATGACATTATTTTTTCCATATTTTTAGATCCGCGAAGTTATAAGTCCAGTCCGTACGAGGACTCAAGAAATCAGACCCGTGCGAGAGAAGGCATGTTTTTCAGCCTGGCCATTTCACTTCTGGCCAACTAAAAAACTGCTTTGTGAAATAACGGTAATATTCTTTGCCTCCACTTCTAGATCGAAACCATCATCGCCTCTGGACACGGCGGAAGCGGCGGCGGCGGCTACGGAGGTCACAAGTCCAGCTACGGCGGACACAAGTCAAGCTACGGACACGGATCCCAGGAAGGATACTAAAGAGAAGGAGGAAAAGAAGGATGAGAAGGACGATGGGTCTGTGACTCAACTTCCCAGTCCTCAGTCTGACGAGTCAGTCATCAGTCTGCGCCAACAGCTGTCCAGCTCGGCTCAGCAGAGGCACCTTCATTCCCACTACCATTCCCTACTACTACTCTCCACCTGTGCATTTAATTTATTTGTTATTTATTGTCTATTTATTCCCAATCTGCTTTAATCATCAATAAAGTGCTTTGAAAGTGCAGTGATAAGTTTGCGGCGCCCGTTTTTCAAATTTAATCTCCTCTATTTGCACTGGCACCGTCGGCCATCACAATAGCCACTGAAGTGGAGGAGCATTGTGAAAGGTAAAAGGTGTTCTTTGGTAGTGCTGCCAAAAAAGGTAGCTCTTCTACAGCTGACTCATCACTGACTATTTGTTGTCGCCGATCATATCTTTTCCGCGTCTCCGGTACCCGAATTCTCCGTGGAATCCACTTCTAAGGCACTTTCCAACTCAACATGGCCAGTGCGACCGTAGCCTCTGTAAGTTCGGCCTCATCTTCTGAGCCAGTCTCGCCTACTGCAGGCGACTACCTTCTGTCGGTCAAAAGCTATCTGAAGATTGTAATGCACGCTCTGCGGTACCCACATGCCACTGTCAATGGAGTGCTTATCGCGGAAAAGAAGGGCAAAACAAGCAAGCAGATTCGTATCGTCGACGCCATTCCACTGTTCCACTCTGGTCACGGGCTGGCCCCGATGACTGAAGTGGCTCTCACTCAGGTACATGTACTCCTTTTCCCGCATATGTTCCCTCATTGTTGACCGTTTCCGTGTTAAACCTTTCAGATCTCGGAGTACTGCAGTAAAAGTTCCGACCTTGTGATAGGCGGATACTATCAAGTTAATGATGCCTTCCATGAACACCCTCACCCAATTCCAACGGTGTTTGCCGAGAGGATTGCCGACAAAATTTTCGAAGCTAACCCAGACGCCGTGTTGTTCATGATTAGCAACTTCAGTCTTGCCACTTCGATTGATGACATCACCCGCTTGGACTCGCCTTTCTTCATGTTCCAGAACATTGATGGCAAGTGGAAGCTAAAAAGTAGTTCTGCCAGCTCCAAAGGTTTCGCCCTGGAGGCTGAATCTGCCATACTCGAGCTGACAAATGAGCTCGTTTTCAAAAAGTCGCATCACTTGAACATTATTGACTTTGACTCCCACTTGGAAAATGTAAAAGACGATTGGCGAAACCCCAAGTTAAACGAAGTAATCGAGCAGTTTGTTAAATCCAATTAAAAGTCGCTATTATAAATTACGTAGTCATAATTATTATTTTGCATACTTTGGCACCTTTGGAATACATTGTTTTTATTATTTTATACTCTACACCACACTACTGGAATGCATTACCTTTGTGTTAAAAATTTTTATACATTTTGTTGTTTGTACAATATAAAAATGGATTATAGAGATCGTTGTGAAGATTGTTTACTGTTTCATTCTGTTTTAAAACTAAACAGACACTAGGCGGCGATACGAACGCTGATTCTAAAAATAGAAAATCGGGACGTGATTTCGGCACAATTGGCTGTATTGACGCTAGGCTGGAAAGTAGGCAAAAAGGGCAGAAATGCTGAAATTGTTCACTTTTGTCCAATGAACTCAGACAACAGATTTTGCTGATGCAACTTTCCTAGGGCTCAGCTCAAGTTTGTTTTGGCCT